AAGTTCCCCCTAAGTTTGAAAGAAAGGTGAACTATGTTATATAGATCGTTCAAGCAAAAAAGTAAAATAAAATAAAATTTTCATAAAACTAGGTTTAAAGCAATTTTTTCCCTTTTCACATTTTCTCTCAAATTCAGTGGACCCTCAGACCCAAGAAAAAAAAAAAAATCTATAGAATTGTTGAATAAAATCGTTTTTGTTTTCTTTGCGCACAAAAAGTATTCTTGTAGCTTTATAAAGTTACGGTTGAACCCGATGCCACATGGACTATTTTAACGAGGTCCTTACTGCGCTTCTGTGCCTTGATCGTGGTGGTACCCTTGCTGTCTATGGGAGGGTCAGAAAGCTCTCCATTTTCAACAAAAATATCTTAATTTGTGTTCTGAAGATGAACGAGGGTCTTACGGGTTTGGAACGACATGAGGGTGAGTAATTAATGACAGAATTTTCACTTTTGGGTGAACTATCCCTTTAAGTGTTTATTGTAAAATGGGAGTGATCAGGTCCAGTGTCTGAAAAAAAATAGTGGTTTAATTTAGTGAAAAAACATTGGAAATATGAAAAATGTGAATCACAAAACAGGCCAGACTCAAACCTGTATTTCAGTAAAACCAAAGCATACAGATGCTGGCAGGTACGCTTACCCTGGACTCTAGAGGGTAGCTGCTCTTCAGGTGAGGCAGACAGGCTTTGTTTCGCACCTGTAGTTCTGCGACACGCATCCAGTCATCTGCAGTATGCTCTGGTTTATCCTCCACTCCGATACCAGGCAGATCATGTGCATTAGCATTAAATGAATAGTTTAGCTCAAAGTTCAAGCTCTCATTGCTGGTGTCCTGCTGTGTTTCCCTGCATCTCACATCCTCAGTGTCATCGGTCATCTTCCTCCGCTCTTGCAGATGCCTTTCAGCGACGGCCAACTAAAACAAACACAGTTGCACATGAAACTACACTGAAACCTCAAAAAGACAGCAGGATTCAGTGTAAACCAACCCGAGCCTCCAAGCTTTTGACTCTGGCCTTCGCCTGGTCTCGTTCCGCCTGAAGATCTTCGACTTCTCTCCTGCTGGCCTGCAGGGAGTTCACAAGAGATTTGTTCATCTCCCGTGCCTCCTTGTTTTTACCACTGTAATGCTGTAATTGTGTGAACATGATCTTCAGCTTCTCCAGGAGCTCCTCATTCTGCTGCTTCCATTGTCGAGCCATGTTTTTAAGAGCAAGAATGGAGCTGTTTTGCTTTTCCACCTTCAGCTCCAGCTGAGCTCGCAGCCTCTGGGATCTCAGCTGTTGATTCTTCATTTCAGCTTTAAGAGAACTTATTTGAGCGTCTCTCTCGGAGGCAAGAGCAGAAATTTCGGTATGATGTTCCCTCACAGTCCTCTCGAGCTCCTGAGCTTTTTCTCTTAGCACTGTTTGATGGCAAAGCTCCCGTTTAAGCTCAGATTCCTTCACCTCGGCCAGCTGATTCTGAAGAGACGTCAATTTTTCCTTCAACACACCATGCTGTGCCTCTAAAACAGACATTTCTTGTTGTTTCTGCACTCCATTTTCACTGTAACAGCAGATCTGCTCTTTAAGAGACGTTACCTCCGCTAACAGAACCAGCATTTCTTCTTGTTTTTCTGAAGCATTTGAAGCAGCAGAGTCAAGCTCTTGCTGAAGTTTCTTAACAGTGTCCTCATGCACTTGGCAATTTGATTTGATCACTTCTTTTAATTCAATATTTTGTTCCTTCACAAGCTTCAGCTCATGGTCTACAGAGTCATACTTGTTCCTCAAATTTGTGATTTCTTCATCTTTTAGGGAAATCTGTTCGGACAAATCCAGAATCTGAGTTAGGAAGCTCTCGATTTTGGTCAAAGCCTGAAAAGAGATAAGGTTATCAAAATTAGTGGTTTTTATTTATTATATTATTATATTATTATTGCATACTAGCAATTTATAGTGTCAACATAATGACGAGAAATTCAATAGACACTTCAAAATATTTAAATCATGTTACAAAATGTTGTTAAATTAAAAAAAACTATATTTTAAAACAAACCGTTTAAATGCATTTTTTCAATTCAATATTCTTTTTGAAAAAAAAAAATAGACACTTCAAATGGTTTAATTTGTTAAAAAATAAAACAAAAAACATTTTAAACCATTAAACAAATGTCGAAAAAAATAGACATTTAAACCTGTTTATTTAAGTCATATTATAAAATGTAGTTAAAATAAAAACAAATGAAAACCTTTAACAACAATTTAAAACATGAAATAAATAAAAAGGATTCAATTTTAAAATAAATTAAATTCATGTTTTACAATAAAAAAAATAAATAAAAAAAAACTTTAAAAAATAATTAAAATAACGTACTTTTTTTTTTTTTAAGCATGAACTAAAAGTTTTAAATGTCTATCAATTTCAAATCTATTGTCCATTTAAAAACAGATTTCAGTTTTATTTTATTTCATTGATAACTGATTCCTTCAAATTTTTTTTTTTTTTTTTAATCCACTCACCTCAATGCTGGTTCCCAGAACCACTCCTTTTTCCTGTGATTGAGCTTTCTGTAGTTCATCCTCCAGAACAGAGATCTTTCCCTGAAGTATCTGGGCCTGCTCACTCAGACTCTCCTGCAAGAGAATAACAGGAGGAGGAGATGAACAGTAAAGCATTCACAGAATGAATGGCGCTTCACTAGTCTTCAAAATTACCCATCGAGTGATGGGCTCGTTTAACTCCAGAAACTTGTTACTGCTCTTCCACTCAGCTTGTGCAGATTCATGAGCCAGTGTGAGTTTGGCAACATCCCCCTCAGCTCTCGCCAGCGGAGCGAAGGCATTTCGCACCTGATGGGCCCAGTGTGAAAGAGGAATTGGTTTTAAACAGGTTAGCAAAACAAAGGAGAAAAAAAAAAAAAAAAAAATTGTATCTCACCTGAGCAGCAAAAGTTTGCTTCTCCTTTGTTAGTACATCAATCACTTTCTTTTTCTGAGTGTTTTCGGTTTTCAAGTCTTGGCATTGTTTTATAACCTCATGCACTCTGCGGATAAGACTGTACAGGAGAAATTTTTTTTTTTTTTAAATAAATTACTGGAAACCCAAATTTGACCTTTAGTGCACCTCACCTCTCGTTCTTCTCCTGTAGCTCCAGCAATGCGGCATTATGGTCCTTCTCCAGCTCTCCTTGTTCCCGCAGCATTCGCTCCACCCTGTGCTGTAACTGCGAAATCACACCCTCTGTGTGCAAAAGAGAGAGAAATTCAACTAACATCATATCAGAGCACGACAGTTTCTCTCACTCACTCAAGGCAGAATAAAGGAAACCTTTCTCTAAATTGATGCCGATCTGATTGGTCAGTTCTTTCTCCAGCTCGTCTCTCACGTCTCCCTCACGTGCCAATACTTTCCGGAGTCTCTTCAACAACTGTGGCGTGCTCATAACATCCTTCACTGAAGAGCTGGGGATCAAATATGAGAGCGTGTTATACTGCAATCTGCCATTCAGTCACAGTCAGTATGTGAACCCACTGATCATTGGCATGAATTGGCCATTTAATTTTCTCTGTTAAAATCGTAGGGCAGAAAAGTGGAAGGGGAAAAAGTTAACTGGTAACATAATGTGTTAAGAATGGGACTCAAAGATTTGAAAAGAACTATTTTCTCTGATGGCCCAGTCAGGCAAGTAGTTCTGTTTTTTTTATGTCCTGCCAACGTTTTTCTCTGGAACCACAAAAGAATGATCCATTTTCATTTTAATTGACTACGTATCTTTATATGTGAATGTAAATGTGTCATTTTTGTCAGTTTCTTCTATAATGAAAACCAAATAATGAATAAAAAGATTTTTGTAAAAATCTTTAAAAATTTAAATTTACAATAAGCTGGATATTATATAGTTATAATGCATCTCAAATATAGAAATAATTATCTTCCGTTCACTAAGGCTGAATTTTTTTTACCAAAAATACAGTAAGATCAGTAATATTGTGAAATCTTTTAACAATTTAAAATGTTTTCTATGTGATTATATTTTCAAATGTAATTTATTCCTGTGATCAAAGCTGAATTTTCAGCATCCAGTCTTCAGTATCACATGATCCTTCACAAATCATTCTAATATGCTGATTTGCTGCCCAAGAAACATTTCTGATGATCAATGTTGATATTTTAGTGGAAACTGATACATTATATTTTTTTAGGATTCACTAATGAATAGAAAATTCAAAAGAACAGCATTTATTTGAAATTAAAACTTCTTTTCTGTCACTTTTGATTCATTTAATGCATCCTTGATAAATAAAAGTTTTTTTTCTTTTTTTTCTTTCTGACCCCAAGCTTTTGAGTGGTAGTATATACACTATAACAGGACCTACCTGACTGAACTGCAGGCCACCGTGAAATGCTCTTGAAACTGAACTCTGGGAGGGTTTTGGACTTGGCTGAAGATCGGGGACTCGTCATCAGTGTACAAAGGTGAGCAGCAGCTGTTCTCGCTGCTGGAGGTGGAGAAAGTCATGACAGCTAGAGAGTGAGACAGAAAGAAGATCAATAGACCTGCAAGCATGGAATATAAACATTAACATCACTCGTTTATTTGTTCACTTTAACACAATGTCAGCATCCAAGGCTTTAACGTCCAATTTTAAAACGGAATTATTAAAAACTACTTTTACGTTAGTGTATAAGCAGAGAAACACTATTTCTTCAAAAGACTTGCATCAACTCAAAAAGGTGTTTTACAGGCAGTAAATTAACAAATATGATCATGTGGCTGCTTACAGGCTTTGGTGAGAAATCCATCTAGGCCTTCGTCTAAGGACAGATCATCAGCATCATCTTCTACAAAGTGAAACATGGATGCGATCATCAACTGACACAGAAACACAGAGAGAGAGAGAGAGAGAGAGAGAGAGAGAGAGAATCAGAAAATGCACAGACGTCACAGAACTGTCGGTCAGTACTGAACACTCACCCCTGTCTTTGTGTCCAAAGGCACCATGTTGTATGTTTTAAAACCACAATAACAAAGAACAAGGACCACCTGTACACACGAACAGTTTTTAAAAAAAATTTTTTTTTTTTTTTACAAACACAACACTAACATTGCACATTCAAATTTATTTTTTCCAATGTGGAAAATAATTTTAAAAAATTTGTTTTAAAAACACATTCTCCAAGTTTCATGTTTTTGGGGGAAAAAATGTTTTTCTAAATAATTTAATATCTTGAATACATGCAAGTAATTCTTATTTTGAAAAGGTTTCCAAATAAAGGTAAATGAATTTAAATGTCAAAAAGGCTTCTTGTGATTAAACCATAAATTAATCTAATATTTAAGAAACTTTGACTTGTGAGACACAGTTATGAGGATCTTTCCATGTCATTTCATGGTTTTCTTGTTAACAAAATGACTTCCTTCTGGCATTACCAAGCAAACTTTGATTTGGAGGTTTTTGCAAACATTAAGGTTTTTTTTATTTTATTATTATTTATTTCTTTTTTTCCATGGTTTTAAATAAATAAATAAAAAAACGTAATCATTGAATCATTTTTTTAAGTTCTTAAAAAAAAGAAAAAAAAAAGTAAATGAATAATAAATCTAATTTTCAAAGGTTTATACAACCTTTAGACTAAATCTCAAAAACAAATGCTTGCATGTGTGTTTTTTGTTGGGAATAATACGTTATACAACAGGTTTTTATGGCTCATGTAGTATGATATAGTGAGAATATGCAGCTCATACTCAATTTTTCTAAAAACAAAAAGTATGGATAATCATGTAAACCTAGTGTTCATCTTGAAATATCAGTAACAATACAAAGTTATTCATACGCTTACTTCATAAAAATCAGTAAATATTTCACAGCAGAAAGACATGAACCAAAAAGAAAAAAACAAAAAAAAAAACTTAGAGGACAGAAGGCGTGATTTGTAAGCAACAGTTGTTGTTTTTTTCAGCAAATCTTGTAGATAATTTAGAAGACTTTCTAGGGTCAAAGTATTATTTACATTAGCAGATACCAGCATAAATGGTGTCACATCACTGACCGCACCTTGGCAAGCTGAAGCTCCAGCTCGACTCCCTGACTGATTTTCTGTAACATGAGGGAGGCCTGTCTCGGGCTGAACTGGAAGTCAGCTGCATGTAGAAGGAAATAAAGGTAAACAGCAGTTTCTCCCGATGCCTCTACAGGAACCAGCATCACTCTGTGTGGCGTCCAGGACTACAGCACTGCTCGGCTCAGCAGCCACACTGGGACCAAACCACGACCCACTCTGACCCGGAATCGAACCTCCAACCTTCTCACCTGCAGTCTAACTCCTTAACCACTGACCCACTGTTACTCAGGACTGGTTTGGCCAGTCTGGAGTTGATACTCACCCTGTAGCATACTGAAGATCATTTCCATCACATTAGGAAATGGTGACACCAGCAAACCATCACAGAAAGCTTTCCCCTGCCTACAAACAAAGACACACATTAACCACTACATTTGAGTACAAATGAGGAACATCACAAGGAATTTGTTGTGGTGCCAACAATATTCACAGTACATATTTACATTTAGCACAGGCTTTTATCCAAAGCGACTTAAAAATGAACACCACCACCAAGTTTAGTAAAACTAGACTAGTAAACAAGTTAAAGCGAGTGAAATGCAGAAAGGAGAAACTTTTTAATAAACCACAAATGAGTGAAACTTTTTCCAGTGGCCTCCATTCAGTTTTTACGACTGCCATTTAAAAAAAAAAAAAAAAAAGTTTTCATTAAAGAGTTACAAGCAATTAACCGAACTAGCAAGCTAAAATTTAAAAATCACAGCCATGCGAACTTTGATTTGAAGAAAAAAAATTGAAAATCAAAAGGTGACTGTAAGTCACAGCTTCAATGAGGGAGAGAACTACAATCCAGTAAGGCATTGCGATTAACAATCAAATTAAACCAATGTTTTTGAACAAAAAAGTAATGTCGGTAATATATACACACAATATAAATATATACATATGCTTGTCAAGTACTTAGAAAGAATAGGGATACTGTCACTATTACGTCAATCGCAAGCCTTTATGTGGGCAATCAAAGAACCATGGGAAATGTAGTTTTAACTGTGCTGTTAAATATGATTTTAAAAGTTGAAAATGCAGGCTTATGGCTTCAACAAAAGCATATGCCATCGATTAACAACGGTAGGTCTGTCTTTAACAGTTTATAAGTTAGTTAAGTCAATTCTCCTATGGAGAAATAGAATGGGATTTTTAATTTTACACCCTCATGCATATGTAGTGTGACACATTCACTACATAGTAAATGTATGGTGGTATTGTAGGTGGAAGAGTGAATGAAAATGGACATTACCAGAAATTACACACTTTGGAGAGAGAGAGAGAGAGATATATATATATATATATATTCATCTCGTTCTGAATTATGAAGTTAAGTACTTCATATCTGACCTGCCCAATCTGAATGTGACGCATTGTTATTCAAAAGTCAGAAACACTGCGGGAATTGAAAAAATAAGTTAAGAAAAGGCATTTCTATCATAACCATCACAACATCACAGCTCACACTCTGTAGGCAAACTTAAGGAGTCGATAGCCGTCCATCATCTGGATAATTTTGGTAAAGGACTCCTCGGGATAAACACTGTTGATCTGTCAGAAGAACATCAGTCACTATAAACGTCTGTTTAAACGTAATGGTAGGCTACAAAACATTAAAAGATGGCAGAGTCGACTTACCCATAACAACAGCGCTGCCTCCTTCTCCTCATTCAACTGCATGATGGACACTTAAAATAGATAATGATGACACAGAAAGTGGATTTAGAAGGATACATACATTTGTGACCCTTTACCACAAAACCAGTCATAAGGGTCATTTTTTAAAATTGAGATTTGAATAAGCAAGCTTTCCATTGATGTATGGTTTGTTAGGATAGGACAATATTTGGCCGAGATACAACTATTTGAAAATCTGGAATCTGAGGGTGCAAAAAAATTTATAAATACATTTGAGAAAATCACCTTTAAGGTTGTTCAAATGAAGTTAATCAAATTAAGTTTTGATATATTTAAAGTAGGAAATTTACAAAATATCTTCATGGAACATGATCTTTACTTAATATTCTAATGATTTTTGGCATAAAAGAAAAATCGATCATTTTGACCAATACAACGTATTGTTGGCTATTGCTACAAATACGTATACCCGTGCTAATTATGACTGCTTTTGTGGTCCAGGGTCAGATTCATAATTTTATCATTGTAAAAAAACAACAACAGTAAAACACACACTCAGAATCTGATTCAAATGCACAGCTGGCAGAAATCAAGACGACACATCAAATCAAGAGCCATTAATCTGACATGTCAGCCAGTGTTGCCAAGTCCGCAGTTTTCCCGCGTCATTGGGCTACCTTAACACTGTTGCCGCGGGTTGAAGCAAGCGACCCCAATAACCTGATATTTACCCCCTGGAGTGCGAATTAAATTTTACCAGGGGAACCCCGCCAAAAAAACGTGTATTTTACCCCCGGAACGCGATTTTTACCGGGGAACCCCCGTCGAAACGAGATTGAGCTAGTTTTGAGCTTTGTTGTGAAAACCTGGCAACCCTGATATCAGCACCTCCTCAGCGTTCTCTTAAAATGAACATCAGTCGATAAAGCAAGCAATATCTGAACTACTAGGCACAAACAAATACTGAATATTAATAACAGCAATTGTAACGTGAAAAAAACTAAACTATTATCAACCGGTACAATAATGTTAGTTATTTAAAGACTCTTTACCACTTTAAAACGTGAAACGCGAACTTATGAGTTTCAAACATACATATCTATGGTTTCAAACACTTAAAGCGAGCGCGAGCAGATAGTTTGGTTAATCTTCGATCAATAACAGTAGGCATAATTATATAAATTAAAGAACGAGAGATGTTTACCGTAATCTTATGATTAAACAACAGACCTGTGCAGTAGTCTTGTCACCTACAACACCTCATCAACAATGATAATAAACGATGCAACACGCGTTCATTAGTAATTTATATATAGCATGACGTAATACTTCTTCCTCTATGTTCATTGGCTATTATAAATTACGCGACCAATGGAAACACTCCTTTTCCCGAAACGTCATTTTAAAAATAATAAGTAATATAAAGTTTATAAATTCTTAGAATAAATGTTTATAAATAAACCCGTAAAAATCAAGAAACATAAATCACAGACAGTATCCTTATCCTTGGGAATGGTTGGGAGTCACAATGTTTTTCTATCATATATTTTAGTAGTTATAAATTAGAAAAGGTTATCATTCGAAAGCTTGAACACTCAAAATTCATCATCTGAAAACCTTATTAGAATTGAATTCTAAGTTTAAGTTCTTAAACTATGCAAATGTTTCTAATATTAGCATCCCTGTAATAATAATAATACTGCATACATGTGTAGTCTGCTTGTTCATATACAATAATTGGTTACCGGACTATACACTTCAGTTTGAATGCAATCCTCTGATAATCAAGAGCTTGACTGTTAAAAGAACATTAACAGGTAGTTTATCACATCGGAAAACAAATGACAACTCAAATTTCATAAATTCAGATTATGAATCCCAGTAGGAATACTTTTTATTGAACACCTGGTTGTCTGAAGATTTCACACAATCAGCAATTTGATATCTTTTGGTTTTGTTGCATTTCTAGTACGGAACACGTTTACAGTCTCTCATAATCTGCTCAGCTTGTTAACTCATATTGAACACATTTCACATCAATTCTATTAACAAGTTTTATCTGACTGGTACATGCATTATCTCAATTTTCCTGGCAAAAGCTGAAAAATCTTAAAAGATTTTTCTCAAATATTGATGTCTTTAATTGTTCACATTTTAATATACAAGCAGAGTTCTTCAACCTCCAAAATATATCTTGCAGCTGTAAATTTAAATTACACGTTTTAAAAAGGTAAAAAATTATACATCTCATTATATAGCTAATTTATTCTTTATTAAACTCGAATAGCTTTAATTTGATAAAAACAATACATTTCTAAAGCACTGAACATTAAACAGAACTGCGAAAACCACTGTTTCCAAACTTTGCAAACACTCTTAGTGTATATTAACTTTCAATAGAATCTTATCTGCATTCATAAATAAACTGCTTCTATTTAGCAACAGCTGAAAAACCGGTCAAAGATTTGATATAAAAGACTTTATTACAGAACAAGGAATACACTTAAATATTATACAGCCGGTTACATAAACAGGACAGTAATTAAGACCACTGCATCCCATAATAATAAAATAACTTATTTGAAGAGAAAAGAAAAACAAAAAAAGAAAAGGACAGATGGTTTTGGAGTTAAAAATCCTCAAATTTACACCTTAATCCTGATCTTCACCTGAGGAGAGGAAGGAGGAGGAGTCAGGAGATTATTCAATGCATTAAAATACATATGAGAATGAAAGTTAGAAATTACAATTGAAATAGGATGACAAATCACATTTTGAAAGTGAGACACTAGATGTTACTCTAGAATAGATCTGGAGTTACACCAACATCAGAAATGCAGTGAGACCACCACCAAACCTACACAGAACTCAACTGTGATTTTTTTTCTATATCATGTATATTGTTCTACATAGCCTATATTTGCATGTATATCAGTGGACATGACCACTATGTTAATCACATGCAAAAAAAGACAAAAACACACACACAAAAAAAAAACCTGAGCAAACAAATACATGGAGAAACTCAAGTATAGACACACCGCAAAAGGTGAGTTTAGATGTTTACATTTGCTGAGCAATTACTATAGAAATTAACTGATGTGCAGCCATGTAACAACAACTTCAAATGTGGTTAATTTGGTTGGAACTGATCTAATATTTATAATATAATATTACATTTTTATGCAAATACTTAAAAACAAAAGACTAAGCATTATAAGGCCGATGCCAGACTTTTGTGAAACTATTTGCTTCAGTTGAAAAAATTAAGTACATTTAATTTATAGGGTTTTGCATTGAATGTATTATCCAAAAATTACCATAAAAATGTCCTTTTTGCAAAATTTCATGAAATAAAATTAGGTCACACTGGCCACCAAACTCACAAAGCCACAGTTCATTTTAGTGAACTGAATAGTTCACCCAAATATTTGCTGGAAATGTACTCCCTTTCATGCCATTCAAGATGTAGATGAGTTTATTTCTTCATCAGACTTGGAGAAATGCAGCATTTATGATGGACTTGCTCAGCAGTGGATGGGTGCCGTCAGAATGAGAGTCTAAACAGCTGATAAAAACATCACAATAATCCACAAGTAACCCACACCACTCCAGTCCATCAGTTAATGTCTTGTGAAGACAAAAGCTGCGTGTTTGTAAGAAACAAATCCATCATTAAGATGTTTTTTTACTTTAAACTTTTTTTCTGGTTATTTCCTCTATCCATAACATTGCTCTCTCTAATGAAAAAGTCATCTTGTCTGACTCGGGAGAGAAATATGCACAGATCAATTCAATTACTGATTTCAAATAAAAGTGGTCCAAAACATTTCTAAGTAAATATTTTGGTAAATTTTAATGTGAGGACAACAGGTGATGGACTTTTTCCACTGGAGGAAGCGTTATTATGGATTATGAATTTGTCCAGAAGTGACCATTTAAAGTTAAAACATCTTGATGGATTTGTTTTGTTTTTTACAAACAAAAAGCTTTTGTCTTCTCCAGATGTTAACTGCTGGACTGGAGTGGTGTGGGTTACTTGTGGATTATTGTGATGTTTTTATCAGCTGTTTGGACTTTCATTCTGACGGCACCCATTCACTGCAGAGCATCCATTGGTGAGCAAGTGATGCAATACTACATTTCTCCAAACCTGATGAAGAAACAAACTCATCTGCATCTTGGAAGGCATGGGAATGAGTAAATCTTCAGGACATTTTCACGTGTGGGTGAACTGTTCCTTTAACACCAGAGGGTGAGTGAAATAATCCCACAGTGGAAAGACACCTGCAGTGTTAAGCATTACTGCCACACATAACAGCAGACACATACAGTTAAATACTTAGGCACAGATTAGCGGCGTGAGTCACTGTGTTTCCTAAACACACACAGCAAATGCTTTTAATACACCTGCAATTTCGAACCACAAATATTGGAATTTAAAGAAATAAAACATAATTTTGAATGCATTATATTTACCATGGCATGTTCTACCATCTGGGACTGCATATCAGATAATAAGTAAAGCCACATGGTTTTGGTTAATGACTACAGAGAGCGTTTTCCTACACAGAAGTGTTTATTTACCTTTTTGGCATTGGAGGATTTGGGGGATTTGTTTCGGGGAGACTTTCTCAGAGTGGAGTTCAGAGGAGACTTTCCGGCCACCGCCGAACGCAGGGCACGACTGGCCACGGCGGGAGATTTGCGGGTGCTGTTACGCAGCTTGTTGAGGCCTCGCTGCAGCCTGCTGTCACCACGACCGTTGTTCTTTGGAGTATTTACAACACTGAACATCACAGACTGCCTTCGCTCGGCCTGCAGATGAAAGAAAGTGAGAGAAAACAATTATTGTTACTCTATGAAATGCACTCTTTAACAACAACATAATTTATTAAAATTGCTCATGCCAAATTTACTAAAATTTAATTTAATGTTAAGTAAGCAAGTTTACTATCAATTAAAGTCTAGGTTAGTAACAACCACAGACGTCTAATAAAAGTATCTCACCGGCGAGTTTGGAGGTCTGTTTTGACTGTTGCCGAACCTGACTTTAGGTGTCATTGGTCGCGGGAAGCAACTTGCCAACTTCTTCGTCTATGAAAACACCATTACTTGTGAACAACAGTTTTACATTTTAGTAACATTTACAGTTTATTAGATTGGTTTAAAGACATTCAGAACCAATTCTGAAATTCTGGTCCTATAAATTTAGCTTTATTTTTTTCCCCCAAATTCTGTTTGTTTGTTTTTTTTCTATTTCAATTTTTCTGGTTTAGTTTTAATGGTTCAATCTGTTCCCAAATACCTTTTTATCTCTCCCAAATTCTGAGATTTTTTTTCCATTTTAATTTTTCTGGATTCTGTTTTAATGGTTTAATTAAACTTTAATAAACAGAAAGCATGTCTAAAAAAATTGAATTCATTGAATTAACTTTTTTTTTTTTTTTTTTATCTTTTATGATAATAGGGTCCTATGTTTTATTTTTCTATAAATCCAGTGTTGTCCATTTAAATTTTTCTGGATTTATAATTTAATACACATTTATCATAAAAAATAGTGTTCATCAAATATTAACCATTTGATTAATCTTTTAAAATTTAGTCAAATGAAAATTTAACAATTTATAATTTTAAAATTCCTTTGGTTAAAATTTTTTTTTTTTTTGCAAACAAATCAAAACAATTAAAAAAAATAGTGTTATTAAGATTATTAAAGGGGTGGTTCGTTGCGATTTCACTTTTTTAACGTTAGTTAAGCTATGAGAAGTGTTAAACATGGACGCGCATACAGTTGCCATACTGTATTATAGCTTTAATCAGGATAAAACCGTATATTAAAAGCTAACAGAAGCAGTAGCATTTACAAATAACAGAGTATCTAAAAGTATGAGACAACAACAAACATAAAACATAGGCCTACCATTAAAAGCCGTGCTTGCACAGGTTCTGCACGATTCTCTTCAATAATATCCTCTGCTTCTCAATCGGGCTCAAACTGATAAGCGATATTAAGGACGCCGTTGTTTACAATGCAACCGGAGCACATGCACCTGAGGTGAGGGGCGGGCCGTTTAGACGTGCACTAGAGGTGGTTTAGCCAATCACAACACACTGGGCTAGCTAACCAATCAGAGCCCATCGCCTATTTCTGAGGGCGGGGCTTCATAAAAGCAGAAAATGATCAGCGCGTTTCTCAGAGAAGGGACAGAGCGGTGTGGAATAAAGGTAAATTATGTGAAATTTTTTTTAAAAAACAAAGCATTAACACGT